CCGGGAAGCCGACAGCATCCCCTGCCAGGTACCCGGGGGGTACCACAGGGACAGTGTGCAGAGCTGAGTGGGGCAAGGACTGACAGCAAAATGCAGATGCCCACCCGTGCCCAGGCACGTGCCCATTGCCCCACAGAGCACATGAAGAGCCAGGGACGGGGGTCTGACCCATCCGACCCCCTGCAGCCAGCCCAGCGCTGCACCCACACCCGGCACGACCTGAATTCGTGCTGGTGCAGGCAGGGCAGGCAGCGTCAGCCTGGCCCTGGGGAGGGTTGGCATGGCAGCCCTGGCCGGGGGCCAGCCCCGGGCACCAGCGGGGAGCCCAGAGAGCGGCTCTCGACTGCTGAAGCGACGGGACCCTCGTGGGTTTCCCCGTGGCAGCCTCGGCCTGAGCGTGGCCCAGTTCCACCAGCTGATTTTAGTGCGAAACAAGTTGGGGATCAGCTTCTCCAAAACCAGGTTTTGCACCAAAAAAGGCAAAATAAAAGCCAACAGCACATTTCTGTCTGTGGTCTCTCCCAACACCCTCCGATTCTGATGTAGCAGCCCCCGGAAGATGCTATTACACTGCTAGCTGGAAGGAGAAACTAAGGGTGGCTTTTGTATTTCCCCAGGGGAGAAGGGGTTTGCTGCCAGAGAAGACAGGCAGCCTGGCAGGCAGACAGGCAGTGCCCCGGGCTGCGGCGCAGGGGCCAGGGCTGGCCCAGTCTCACCGGCCGCAGGAATTTTGCTCCCCTGCCAACTCCAGACAAATCCCTTTTATTTGCTTGTTCAGGTTTCGATGCCGTAATTGCATCATCTGAGCCAGCTCTCAAGAGAAAGAGGAAATAAAAAAAAAGAGGAAGGAGAGCAGTGCAGCACCCGAGCCACCAGCCTCCATTGCATCCTGCCTGCTCCTGCCTGGGGACAAGGCAACTTCTTCCTCCCAGGTTCTGGCTCCCCACCGCAGCTCTGGACCTCCCTGGAGCTGGGACCGAGTGACCAGGGACAGTTTGGTCCACAGGGAGGTTTTGAGGCTCAAAAGTCCTGTAAATGTTGCTGGTTTGGAGGGGCAAAGCACCCACTAATTGTAAGCTCAGCCCCAGGATGCCCATGGGAAAGGGTCCTGCCAGGCCCTTCTGGGCATGGAGCAGCTCAGTGCAGCTCCAGGCTGCCTTCCCACCTTCCCCTAAAATGAAATTGCTCTAAATCACCAGGTCTGGGAGGCAGGTGGGTTTTCTTTAAAAATGGAGCATTTCCAGCAGAAACAGGAGCCTCCCAGTCCTTCCCCAGCCGGGCACAGGGCTGCTCTGCTCCCTCCGTGCTGGCAGGGCTATGGTCACCTGCGTGGAGACCCCCAATGCCATGGGTCACAGGATCCCAGGATGAGGTTAGGCAGGGGTGGGATAGAACCCAAACTGATGGGGGTGCAAAGAACCAGCTTGATGCATCCCCACCACACAGGGGATAGCCTGCTGCGTAACCCCCATCCACATGTGGGGTGAGAGGGGCAGGACCCACGCCAGGACCAGCTGTGAGCCCCAGGCTGGGCAGGAGGGCTCCTCAACCCAAGCACCCCTGCAAAGGACAAGGTAGCATCCATGGTGTTTGCACCCTCTCTCACCCCCAGAATAATCCCTGTGGATAGAGGACAGTTGCCTGGTCTGTGGCAGCTTTGACTTACGTGTATATTTTAACTAACATTAACTGAAATGGCAAAGTAAAGAGCTGCATGGAAGGGAAAGCACAAAGTTGATTTAAAAAGGTCAAAATGCTTCCGACCACATGGGTGGCTGGGCTGGAGAAAAGACAGCACTGAAAACCACAGGCGTCTGGTTTCCTCCAATCACTACTTTCCTGGTTAAAAACAAAATGTAAGAGAAGGATGTTTTGGCAGCAGGTTCCCCGGGTCCTGGGGAGGAGCTTGACTGTCCCTGCAGTCAGGGGATGCAGTTCAGCCCCAGGGGTGGCACACTGGGTGTCACAGCCAGGTCCCAGCCCTCTGCTCCGGCTTCCCCAAAATCTTTTACACAGGGCAGAGATGTCCCTGCCCTGGTCTTTCTCTCCCCAGGGGAGGCTGCCTCCACCCCCAGCACCAAGTCCTTGTCACACGCAGTATGGCTGTCCTGGCAGTGTCCCACCTGCCACCACATCCCTGCTCCATGCAGGAGGACAGACCACCCTGCCCCAGGCAGACCCACCGCCAGTCCCAGCCCTGTGCCACCAACCAGCCAGTGTCCCCTCCCCAAGCACCCCCAAAGAGATGTGTCACCCTGTCCCCCACCCCAAAAAAGAGGCTGCTGTGCCAGGACTGTTCAGAGAAGGAGTTTTGGGCTGTGGGTGCTTGATCCAGAGACATCTCCGACCCCCTGGAAGGGCCACCGTGGGCAAGGTGACCTCTGCAGCTGGACATCCTGTCTCTGGGCTAGTAATAGTCCTCCTCGCTCTCCCCGTAGTCCTCGGGCATTGTGCGGGGCTTCGGCATGGAAAAGCCTGTCAGGTTGAGCTGGTCTGAAACGGCAGCAGAGGGACAATGTGGCATTGCCCTCCTTGGTGCCTGCCCCCTTACCAGGACCAAAGCCAAACCGTGCATGGCAGCTTGCTGGGGCATCCCCAGCACAGCCCTATGCACTGGCAGCTCCCACCATACCAGTGCACCCTGCCCAAATACCCCTTCCCTCATTTTCATGAGAGTGTAGGGACCAGGACAGGGTGCTCACCTGGCGTGAAGACCGTCAGGCTGGCTAATGCCACCACTTCCCCGACCCTGTTCCTGGCGAAGCAGCGGTAGATGCCTTCATCCGTCACGCGCACACCCTGGATCTGGAGCCAGCCTGTCACTTCGTATTTCTGGGGGCCACCCCTGAACTGCAAGAGGGAGGATTTCCATTAGCGCTGGGGCCAGAAAAGCCCTGCGTGGGGCTAGGGGCAACACAAGTGCAGGGAAACTTTGCCCCCCCCCAAATACCACCCTGGGAGCAGGCACAGACCCTCTGGATGCAGGTCCCCCCTCTTCCCACTACCCAGGGGAGATGGGGGGAATGGGCATCTTCTGGCTCCCGGACAGGCCTGGGTGCCCTGCTTTGGGCAGGACCCGGCAGACGTGTCCTGGAATCCCAGCTGTGCCCCCAGTGCCACCGTAGTCCCCAAGTGGCAGGAGGATGCTGGGGTCGGTGCTTTGCAGGGTGGCAGAAGCAAGGCGGTATCTGTGCCATGGGCTCAGCCAGCCTGGTGTGGCTCAGAAGAGTCCCAGGTCCCTGTTTCGGCAGGCAGTGAGATCCCAGGACCACTCTGGCGCCAGCCATGCTATTTTCTGTTTGTCCCCAGCAAGAAGTAGCCTTTTTCTGACCCAGCTGGGCTGCAGCTGTGTTTACAGGCTGCTATTATGGTGCAGTGGCCGGGGGTGGAGGACAGCTGAGTCTCCTGCAGCCAGGCTTGGGGTGACGGCCCTTGGCCGGACCCTGTGACAGGGTACGGGGCAACGTGAAGGTCAGAAAGATGGAGGGGGACCAGCACGTCACCCTGCAATTGTGCCAGGTCCCAGCTGCTCCCCTGGTTCCCCCCATCCATCCCACAACAGTTTCCTCCCCGCCGGTGCCTGGCTGCGGTGCACAGCCCCGGTGCCTCTGCCCACACCCTCTAATAGGTGGGTGCGCCCGGCGGGGGACTATATTTGGGGCTGACCCCTGGGTGTGCCAGCTCTGGGAGGGGAGCCCTGCTCGGAGCAAGGGGCAGAAAAGGGCAGGCACTGCCTGAGGCTGCTGGTGGGAGTAGAGCATAACCCAGGCTGGAAGGCACCTCGGGAGGTCTTCTTCTCCAGCTCTGCTGGTAGGACTGTGAGTGAAGCCAGCAGGCAGAGCAAAGTAAAGGCAGGGAGGTGGGAAATTCCCTGCTGCAGGACTCTGCAGGTCCTAAGAAAATATTCATACATTCAGAAGCAACTAGAGAAAATTGCAGAAAAGAGCTATGCTGATGGCTCCTGCTACAGAGACACCAGCCCTGGCTCAGCCAGTCCTCACGGTGTGCAGGTTCCAGTCACCCCTTCTCATCCCCAGGCAGCCAGGCTTGGCCACCCCCAGAGGATGACCACCCTCAGGTCCGGTTGACCGCCAGCTCCGGGAAGGGCTGGGTCACCCCAGGGCTGTGTCCAACACCCCATATTCACCGCTCACCTGGACAGAGATGTGGGGGTCATCTCCAGGCAGCAGCATCTCTGTGCCATCCTTCCTCCACTCAATGGATGCCATGGGGTAGGCGAATACCTCGCAGCCAAAGATGACGTCCTGCCCGGTGACGTTCCACGTGTCATAGGGAGGGGAGGTGATCTGGGGCTCTGGCGAGGAGGGACAGGAGAGCAGGGCGGGGTCAGAAGAGGTCCCACCCTCGGCAGGTCCCACGGACTCTCCTGGGCTGGTCCCTTCCAGGGTGAGAGGTTTATGTAGAGATGCTGGGCCCCTTCCCATGCCCCTCTCCTCTCCCACCCATGGCAGACCCTCACCTTGCCCTAGGACATGGTCCCTCCTTGCAGCTGGGACTGGGGGCTCCCTCTCCAGCCCCCCAGGCCCATGGGGGGTTGCCATCCCTCCTGGCCTCGCTTTCCCCGCCTGCTCAGTGGTGCTCAGAGTCACACGGGCAGCAGGGAACAGTTCAGTAACAGCAACGCTGCACAGCGCAGCTCTGCACGACCAGAGCACGCTCCTCCGGCGGGGCAAAGGCAGAGGAACACTCCTCCAGCCCGAGGCCGGCGGGGATGGATGAGGTGGATGAGCTTCCAGCCAAATGAGGCTTCTGCTCTGACACCCGGCTCATGCCAGCAATTAAGGGAGTGAGCAGGTCTCTGGCTGCCATGTGGAACCCATACCTCCTGGTCCCACACCCCTTCCCTAGAGGGATGGAGGGAGGGCCACCCTTCCTACCTACACCTGCTCCAGGATCTGGCCCATAGCATGAACCAGAGGTCACGGAAGGCTTCCACCCCCATATATATCTGGGGTAAAGACACAAGGACATGATGATCTACAGAAAATAAAGTCAACCTTGATGCCCCTTGGGCTGTGGTGACAGCACAGGGTGACCTGTGTGGACTGGGCAGGCTGGGGCACGATCTCCCCACCACTGCCTCCCCCCTCCCCCAGCCCCCCACTGGGTTTTAAACATGAGATGGAAATTGTACAGCCAAGTCAAATCGAGCCAGGTTTCCATTTGCAGGAGGCAGCCGCATTTCTCAGGAGCGCTGGGCCAGCGTGAACCCAGCACCATCGCCAAGAATTCGCTAACAATTCCCTGGAACTTCCCCATCTGCTCCGGCAGGATTTGCTGCTTCCCATAAACCCCGCTCCCATTTGGCAAAGCTGCTCCCAGACCTCTCCAGGCGCCGGATCTGCAGGGGCTGCCCCACGGCAGCAGGGGGG